AAACTGCTGGTGCTTATATTGGAATTAACTAGTGGTAAAACAATTACAACAAAATACATGTAAAAAAGCTGTAAACTCTTGTGGTATTCTTACAGAAAATGTCTTAATTTCTACTGCGGCTTGCTAAAAGCCGCAGTGTCCCTAACCACTTTGTGGCAATGAGGAGCTGGGCGTGGGCAGGGGGAAAGATAGAGAAAACGCAATTTGGAAAACATACTTCTCTGGTCTCAGATCGGCTTCTGCTTCTGTCTCTATACACTTCTGCTAAATCAGTTAAAAGATACAGTGGTAATCACATATCTTTCTTGGGTTTGGCTGAAGGCTGGCATGACATTTGATGGCACAGAATTATCTTGCAATTTGTGTCCTGGGATTCAGAACTCAAATACCGTAAGACTAGCTATGACAGATTTAAGCATAAAATTAAAAATATGCATAACCTAAAGGTTTGGTTATGCTTTCTATGCACATTTTTTTTTATCATTCTGTTTTGTTTATCTACAAGTTGTATTTTTTCTTTCCACCTTATACCTTTCTGAATACATTTTTAAAAAAAGAATAACATCTTCTGTTATTCCTTTATACCTTGAGAACAATAATCTGGTATGTCTATTCTGTCTGTTCTTTCCTGTATCAATAAATAATAATAGCACTGACTTCCTTTTCTTAACTTAAGGAGTTTTTTTCCTCATACACTGTCATCCTTAGTTTCTGCTGTTAAGGGCATTTAGAAGATTTCCCCCCCTTTCCCTGGGGGGTTAATGATGGGCCTAATTGCATAAAATGAATCTTTCTACTTTTACAATCAGAAATGAAATCCTACCAAAGGTTTAACCAAGTTATTAATTCTAAAGCAGTGCTTCTGTGATTGGCTTTCCAGGGAGGATTGTGATTTTTGTCTTATTATCTAACATAGTTTATCTATCTTTTATCAAATGATATATTAGCTTTAGAACTAGTTGGAGCTGATCTTTTTTTCAAAGACTGTATCTGTTTTGCCTCATTTCTATATTAGCTATTTTTAATAGGTTTAGCACATCTGTGACCACTAAAAATTAGCAAATTTCCCTTAGTTCTTATACATTCAAAATTGGAATGTGTATACCTCTATGCTCAATATTTTAATTCAGGATTATTAAATTTGTGGTGCAATAGCCCGAACAATAACATGTTTGCACTGTTCAATTGCTCCACAATAAATTGCACAAAACAAACTTATTTAGAGGATATAGATCTCCTTTATTTTACCATCCTAATTTTTTATAGTTTTCCTCTTGCCAGAAAAAAAATTATGCTTATAAATACTAAAATGTTGTCAACAATAAAGTCATTAGAGAGAAGGAATTCAACTTTTCTGAACCCAGTTTTTACACATTATTCAGTTTCAAGAGCTAATGTTTTAACAACTAAGAGGAGAAAAAGCTAAACAAGTAAAAGTTCTGTCTTAAATTGGATGAAACAAAACCTTATAGAACTCAATGAAAATTTATGAGTTCCAATAAGACCTACTCATAACAGTTACTTTATAAAACTAAAGTTGATTTTTTTTTTTAAAGAAAAATCCAATTGTATGATTTTTTTCCCCCCGAAGTCCTTGCGCCTTCTTGGATTAGGACTATTTCTTCTGTTAGGGATCTTAACATGAAATTACACTACAGGACTAAAGTATCTTATGGCATTTAATCTATTTTGACTGATGAAAGAGAGATTAGTGCTGCAATGGCATCTGCTTTGCTATTCAAGACATACACAAAAATTGTATGACCAAAGCCTACTGTACTGCTTATTCATTTTTTAAAATGTTACATTCATAAATGTTTAAAATAGAATTTTAGAGTTAGTAATGCTTCTTTCTTAAGACCCCTTACAATTCTGACTGAGAATATGGCACAGGATGAAAAAGAATACAATCTACTCTCTTAATTTCCTGCTGAGCAGACTGCTCAGTTGCTGAGAAATAAGAAGCAGTTTTGGAAGCAGAAGAAAATTTTTGATGGGAAAGAATCCTCACATTCACGGATTCAGTTCAGAATGGGTTCCTCCTATCCTGGCGACCTGCAAAAGCTAAAAGCAGGTATTTCACCACAAGTAATTAAGGGGGGGGAAAGCTCCATCTTTAATTAAACTCTGTAAATTCCAGATAGTATAGTTAAAAGCTCTTCTTGTTAATTTTAAAGAAACAAAATATACTAAATCTTTTTAGTCAGCTAGTAAAATATATAAAAATTGTACTGATAGAGACCTGTAAATTGTTACTTACTACCTTACTGCCAGTATTATGCAACCAGGCTCAACAATTGATGTAATTAGTTGATTCATTTCCCAAAACTTAACAAACTAACTGAATATTTCTAACCAAACAAGCTTCATAAAATTGCTGTTTCCAATCTTCTATAGTATCTGCATCAACATTTAAAAATAGCAAAAAAGATGGCACTTGTTACTTTCATTCATAAATAAAAATACACACCATAGTCCATAAATATTTCAAAAAATGGAAAGTTAGTAAATAATCTTGGATGAATGTGGGCCTTTAATGCTTTCTTACCTTATTTTTTTATATATATAAGGTATACAGATCTTGTATTTCAGAATAATGTGCTTTTGGCAAGAGTCTTACGCTATATGGCTAATTTATTAAAAACATATTTTTTTATAGTGAAGCAAGGTATAGAGTGCAAATCAACTTCAAATTATTTTTTATGTGACATATCTTCAAAAGTTTTGGCTTTTAGTTGTAAAGTGTTAATTTGTTCACAATTTTTTAGTTTATTGCATTTTCAAATCTTGCTGATATTTATTAATATTTAATGCTTATTTAGTATTACATATTACCAGCAATAGGGATTCTAACTTTATTTTTACAAGAACTACATCAATTCTGGAACAATAGATTTTCTAATTATGAAGAAAACTTTCACTTACTCCATTAAGAAAGAAAATGACTATATGCATTTGGTATGGATATAGGTTTACAACATAATTTAAATAGTTTGATATGATAGGTAAAACTGGTTTTACAAATTAAGTTACAAACTAAGAGAGTAGATTGTAAGAATGTGTGAAAAATATAATATTAATTAGCTAAACCTACTTTCTGGGAATGAACCGTGACTACATTCTAATTTCTGATTTTAGGTGACCCTCTGATTTTAGGGCAAAAGACAGGCAAAACAAATGGCCAATGTTCTGGTATTATGTTCAGAAATGTTTTCAAATTAGAGCAGCAGTCTGACATGAATTGCAAATTTTAACTGCTTACATAAATGAAATATAAATAGCAGTTATCCTTTACATTTATACAAGAAGATAAGGACAAGGTGTCCTTCTAATCAATTTAAGACAAAGTGCTGTCCTTTTTCATGTTGAAAGACAGAATACATTCAGAAGACTTTAAGAAATGGAAAAATCTCTCCTATATAAAAATAGTAACCCTTAAAAGAAAAAAATTAAAAACATCATGAATACAAGGAAATACATTCTTTACATTCTGTCCTGACATTTACATTAGTGAATGCATAGACAAAAATGTGCAACTGGGCAATTTGTGGTGTTTTTCCCCTCATGGTATCAGAATTCAGTCCTTGTGCATTTTAATTAACAAAGGCATGCCGATGATTAAAGGCACACTATTTGGATCCCTTTAGGATCACAATAATCAATTTTCCTACTTTTGCTGAATATTCTTTTTATGATCCATATATGCCCATTACTATATCTAGAAACTGCAGTATTACATTTATTTCTCCTTTCTTTTACCTCTTTACTGGATTACGAACTATAAATCTTTGTATATAAGGCAACACTAACCTGATGTCCCTTGCATTATGTTACCAACAAGCTCATCTACAATGAAGAACATTTTCCTCCAATATAATGCTTTACTGTTTTATTCTGATATTAATTTTTATCATGTAAATGACATCAATTTTTCTAGTCTAAAAGTAGAATACATCTTGCTCAACATCACCACTCTGTACTACCACAAAACACATGCACAAAAGACCAAAAGTGCTCTTCCAGAATGATGAGCAAAACAGATACGTTTTGCAATCACACACTTCACCAACATCTTGGTTCTCCCCTATTTCAAGGAGCAAAAGATCACATTGCTTCATCTGGAAGTGCCTGATTTGCTGATACAACATGACTAGCATTTGGCTGCTTCTGAGGTATAATATGAAACCCCTTGCAACAGAACTGACCAGCTACAGATTCAAGAAATCGGGACAAAACCAATAATAGGAATAAAGTCATTCTCCTTGGGACCTCAGGGAGGATCCAGTCATTAATTTTGCTGGTTATTGATTGATAATTCTCAGAGCATCCAAATATCAATTTAATAAAGGGTGAGTTTAACTGGAAAAATGGAATTGTATTCTGTTCAAGTTTGTAGCTTTAGAGGGCAAACTACTTTTTTCAAAGATAGTAATTTTTTATTACAATATTCTTCTCTGGGTCTTTTTTAAAAACAAAACTGAGAAACTGATAGTGGATACAGTATGAATGTGTGTGTATTCCTTCCTCCAGGGGCATACAGAATGGAAACATCAATTCACAAAGTTTCCAATCAGGTAATTCACTTTGCTTTTCCAATGTAAAATCAATGCTACTGGTTACCTTAATCATACGCTACTTTCATTTGCAAATATGTTGTTGCCTGCATTATTGAATGTGCACATTTAAAAATGTCTATTTCTATATTCATTCTTCTGAAAGTCAGCACTTCCCAGTAGTTGCATTACATGTAACACTCACTTTTGAATGTATTTTTTTCCTGAAAATAAAAAACTACACTACTGATTTGTGCTTGCCAGTTTCTGGCAAATTGTGCCTCTTTTTTTCTCATTTAAAGATGCAAATAAATAATATCCAATATTAGAAACAATTACTATATTGAAATGTATTTAAAAAAATTAGTGCCCAAACTCCGCAGTCTTATCCTTACATAACGTTCTTGAATAAACACATATTCAATATTGCATCAGCTGGTGATTTTGCACATGTATGTTCCTTTCCTTAAAAGATATATTGAAAACTGTGCCTTTAGCTTTAACATTCATGGGAATGATTCATGAAGCACTGGGCTTACACTAAGACTGTTGCAAGTGCATGGATTGAAAAGGACAAACAAAGCCCCCAAAATATTCTTCGGGATTTATCACAGAAATATCTAAATGAGCCAGAATTTCCTAACTCTACACATATATTACATGTTTATCTATTTACACAAAACCTAAATAACAGCATATAAAGCACTTAGCAGAACACTCTGTTTTTAACATAGACATTCTTCAGGTTGGGCACATTTGAATAGAAGAGGTTTTTTTGATTTAAAAAAGGAATCCTAGAAGAATATCAGAAGAAATATGATATAAATGTGTCAGATTTATGACAGGAAAAATACTTTTCTACAAAAAAGGAAGTCCTGTCCTTTGAGTCATGCCAGTTTCTCATGATGTCACCTTCTTTTTCAGTGCAGACAGCTCTTTGTGAATCTCGCTGAATTTTGGTCTCATTTCAGGATTGTAATCCCAACATCGTTGCATTATTTTATAGATATCCTCTGGACACTTCTGAGGTGCTGACATTCGATAGCCTAGTATGTATTTTTTAAAATAGATTATTAGAAATGTAGTTGACTCCTATACAATATGACTTAATATACATATACATTTTTTAAAAAAAATTGAACAGGATCTTCTCCGTTGCAGTGCCTGCCCTCTGGAACAGCCTCCCCACTCAAGATTTTATGGTTCCAACTGGTTTGCTTTCCACAAAGCATCAAAGACTGGGATGTTCCCCTGGTCATGAGGCCAGATGGCAGATGAGCCTGTTTTGGGTGTTTGGGATTTGTTGAAGCTGGGTTATGGGGCCTGAGCATGATTTATATTTATACAGGTTTTTTGCTATTTGTTTGGTGTTTATTGTGGCTTATTATGTTAAATCATTAGTCAGCAGAATATTTTATACTGCACAGTGTAACTTGACCTAGTAGATAGCCATATGCTATAACCTAGATCTCTTTCCCAGTATGACCACCACCTCTGCTGGTTTATTTAAAAAAAATTAAACCATGGTTACATATAGTAAGCAACCTAGAAGAAAATTTAAAGGGGAAAGAAAAGGGAGATCAAACAAAAACCTCTTTTCTAAAGCAGTTGATCTCAGTCAAGATCCCTTGCACACATTTAGACCAGAAGACATTTACACAGCCCGGATCTCAGTCCACAACAAGACAGAGCTTATAAATTAAGTGGCCTCACTTACTCTGTCTGAGTGTCCAGATTCAGTAGGCTTCAGCCTCATGGCTGGTAGATGGGTTTTTTTTATTTTTATTTGGCTTGCAGGCAACTACCCCACCCCACCCCTCTGAAGAAAAACCAGGAAGACAAAGACAAAATGGAAACTGCCCTCCTCTCTCTTCTGCCTTAGAAGAAAAGCCAAAGTTTTGATTTGGTCCTCAGCATCTGATTTTGTGGGGCTTCAGTTGTTTTCTTTCTCTTTTTGGGAGCCTATGCTAGTCCCTAATTATCTTGGCAAGATTTTCTAAGTGGTTTGACTTAGAAAATTGCCTGCTTACTAGGGCTGAGAAAATGTGAGTGGCCCAAGGTCGCCCAGCTTGGTTTTGCATCTAGTGGTTCCTTGTGTTTCTCTTATTTAATAATATTTAAGAATATAAATGTGCGTGTGTGCGCATGCACAAGTGTGCACACCATGTAAGAAATGGCAGATGGGAGAAATATAAGTCAGGTACAGTGTTTCAGATCTGAAGGCAAAATGGTGATTTGGAGCATACATATGTGCGCACATCACAGTTGCCTGAAATTCCTTAAACTAAATCCACCTTTACCTGGGGTCAAGTTACAGCTGTAGAAGGCTATTGCCCAATCCTTATGGGAAAATAAAAGCAGTTCTCGACTTACGACCACAACGGAGCTCAACATTTTTGTTGCTAAGTGAAACATTCATTAAGTGAGTTTTGCCTCATTTTACGAGCTTTCTTGCCCCAGTTGTTAAGTGAATCACTGCAGGTGTTAAGTCAGTAACACGATTGTAAAGTGAATCTGGCTTCCCCATTGACTTTGCTTGACAAAAGGTTGCAAGTGGGAATCACATGACCCCGGGACATGACAACAGTTATAAACACAAGTCAGTTGCTAGCATCTGAGTGCTTGATCACGTGACCATGGAGATGCTGCAATGATCATAAGTGTGAAAAATGGTCAGAAGTCACTTTTTTCAGTGCCGTTTTAACTTTGGACAATCATTAAGCAAACTGTTGTAAGTCAAGGACTATCTGTAATATTGTAGTTTCTAGGGGTAGACAACAATGTTATGTATGCACATCTAGAAGCATCTTTTGGCTTATGTAACTGTTTTCAAACTGCTGCACAGCCTTAATGTGCAGGTCATTCTAAGAGCCAAAGTCCACTTCATCAAATAATTTCCATGTAGTTCTGCTAAAAACTTTAGAGATAGCTAAAGATTAGCCTTCTACAATGACTTTATTATAAGATGGTGATTTTCTAAATAATCAAATAGCAAAATATATCATCTAGCATGAATACCTGCTATATCATTTCAGCTATGTTGAATTATCTCCTGTTTGGTGTTAGAACTTCAGCCTAATTTATAAAAACCATATAAATAATCAGATGGAATTTACACATATTCATTGCAAACACACACATACAATTACCTTTCTCCACTTGTTCCCGTGCTTGCTGATTAGTCATGCCTGGATACGGGCATACACCTAAGCTGAACGTCTCCCAGAGGAAAATCCCATAACTCCATATATCACTCTCAGAAGTGTATCGTCCTATTGGATAAAAAGTTAACAAAAGGATGGACAATGAAAATCCATACAGAAAAATAGGCAAGAAACAAAAGGCCTACTAGGCTGGAACTGTAGACCTTCAGAATTCTGCAGGGAAAATGTGGGCTCTTCATGTTCGGAGGTTTTAACTAGAGACTCATGTTTTTTGGCTAATAATAATTATAAGCTCAATATGATTCTGAACCTACCAACGTAGCCCTTTACAAGTTGTGCAGGCTTGTACTAGATAACTTTTGTGGTCCCTTCTGACTCTTTAATTCCATGATTCATAATCCTAACTGTATCCTTAATCAATGCCATTTCTCAGTGCTCATATACTAAAATAGTTTTTAAAAAATCCATTGCAAAATATTAAAAACATTGACACAAAACAGTTTAAAACAATACTTAGCAATACTAAGTCAAAGCAGCAAGGAGCCATAGACAGGAAAGTGAAGTTTGAAAGTTCCCTTGGAAAGGAAAAATTCTTTATGCCAATCTTTATATCGACCTTTATCTCCCTGGTTATAGAAGATGTTATATTTAAACAGCTGGTATATCCAATCATAAAATAAAATGATGAATTTGTGTCTTAAAACAAAGGTATATCATTCAGTAGCTACTCTTATTATGAATTTCACGTTATTTAGCAATCTGCTGTTTTCCACTTCCATTTCTAATCTCCATTTGCAGCCCTCTTCACTTTCCTCATTGGCTAGTTGACCAACATGATTGCATGTCTAGTATCTCATTTCCTATTGCCATTAGCATACTATGTGGGACATTGGGAGGAAGCAGGAGATTTGTTGTTACCTTTTTTCTCCCAGCAACATTGTTTGTGGTGTACTAGTTTAGAACTGTCAGTAATAAGCAATGTTGACCAGAATTACTGCGACAGAGCAAGATCAGGCTTTTCACTACATAAATCCTGCTTTCAATAGCTGACATCTTATAGTGGAACTAGAAATCAGCAAGCAGATTAGGATAAAGAAGGAGATTGTAGAAGGTCTGACGGTAAGTATCCAGATATAAAACAGGATCTCACCAGGTAATAATAGATCTCTCAAAATCTTACCAATTTTTTACTGGCAAAAAGAAATAAGCAAATTGGGTAAGGTTTCCTAATCTTGGAAATTAGAGTTCCAGCTGTTAATCAAAAGTCACATACAGTACTTGTCAATGTGGTTAAATGTTGCCCTCTAGGGGAAAAAAAATCAAATGCCCAATTGAACCTCAAGTTTATATGGTTCTTTAATATTTAAAATGACTATAGCAAATATATAAACTACTCCAGGAATTTGTGAGATTTATTACTCTAGTATCGCCTCAGAAAAAAAAGACTGTGGATTGTGTTCTATTGAAAATGTCCCTCTTGCATACTCAGACTGGGAGCCAAACATTACTTGGTCAAATTTTATTAGACATCAATAGTAAGATACGTCAAACTTGTCTTTATATCAAGTTTGATTTTTACAGTACTCTCCATGAAGGAATTTACTCTCCAAGATAAGAAGCAATGATTATCCCCTTCTTTCATGGAAGACGTATTTTGAGTCACTATAATAAAGAAGACCAGGCATTGCTGGAAAATCCTAGAATCATATTATTTCCTTGCATTATTTTGAAAATGGAATCCTTTAGGGTCTGAGACTTGGGAATTTTGTGTATCCCATGTCCTTTTTGTCAACTGAAAGTATTCACAAGATGATTAGGATAGATGACCTGTTGGAACAGTTACCAAGATTATTAATTTTTTTTGCATGCAGATTTAATCAGTTTTCAGAAATAGCAAAACAGAAATGGATGGAAGTAATTATCATGAGAGAGATTCAATAATTTATAACTGTTTTTGAAAATGACCTCTGAGTTTGCAGGGTTTTTCTTTTTTTTTTAATTCTCAATTGCTAAATATTTAACTTACAATTTAAATCTATGATACACCAATATAAATGAAATACACATAAGTGACACTGATGGCTGAAGTTATATTCATTGTTCCAACTCTCAAAGTTCTATTTGCATTTAAACATCTCATGCTGTTTTAAATTAGGCTACCTGGTAAGTGGAGAGCAATTATGAGCATTCACTGTGCTGCTAGAAATGCGATTACCTGTCTAAGTCTACATCTCATTTCCTTTGGGACTTAACATCTAATAGTATAATATGTTTCATTTAAAATATTTAGGAATGTCAATTAGAAACAATTGTTTTGTTAAGAAAAAATAAGTTATATGGAATTAATTATCTTTCTCAGTATATGGCAACCTTCCCCAAGCAGCACTTAAATTTACAAAAAATCTCAAACCTCAAGGAACACTCAGTGGAAAGCTGCTACACAGGAACCTTCAAAGGATGCTGGTGCTAAAACTTTAGCAGTATGCATTAAGGCCATAGAAAATTGAGAAAGCTATGCTGAAAAATGAGAGCATAACTATTTGCCAAGAGCTTTTATGCATCTATGAAAAATTGCTGTTGGACTGGAGACAGTGTTTTTTTTCCAAATGTCACAAAAATAACTTTCCAAGTATTGTGAATAAGGTGTCAGTAATGCAGATATGAAATAAAATATGCATTTAAATGCCAATTCTTATATAAAATATTTTGAAATGCTTCTTTCAGTTCTTACCCAGGGTACTGCTTCCTAAAGATACAAAATAAGAAAGGTTTGGCAAACAGTTTTGACATGCAAAAAGATATATTTTTAAATAATTCCTATGTTAGATTTTATGAAAGGATTAATTCATAGTGCATGTTTACAAAAACATTAACTCCCCACCCCCTGTAATACAGGCAAAAAGGCCTGACGTAGATGCCTATTCCTGAAATTTCCAACTTTGGTTAAGAAATTGGGGCTGTTTCTTGGATTTGCACATCCCAATCACTTTCTCTCCATTTTCTCTTGGGAGTGGAAATAAAAATTTTAGCTCCCCAACTGGGTAACTGACTCAGTGTCTCTATTCCATTCTTAAAATTCATCTAGCTGAGAAGTCATTGACTCAGTCACAGGCTGGACACTATCACACTTAATGGCTGCTATTTTGGGAGCTACAACCAATCAGTGCTGTGAAGGTGTGTTCTGTGACCATTCAAACGGGAGTTCTCAGTTACGTTGACCACCAGAAGATATTTCATTACTGATTTTGTTGACAATATACACTGCATCAAAATAGAGAAATGTCTCCCCCGCCTCCTGGTTGTAACATAACCCCTGTCTCCTCCTCTGAGAGCTTAAGTACCATTCTGATAGTGCTTTTAAATTTTACATCTTCATCCAGGAAAACTGACTAGGATTCTAGGTCACAGGACACAAAGCTGATTAAGGGGAAGAATTTGACTAATTCAACACCCCAATATAGTTTTAGGTTAAAACTGTTCCTTTCAGGCCTCAACACTGCATGAATTAGTGGGTCTGCAGACAATAAGCTGCAAACCTGAATTGGAGATAATATGTTATGTAAGGTTCTGAAGTGACATTTTATTTTCGAGTGATGTCACAATGTTACTGAAAACCTGAGCAATATCTTAAAAATATTTATTATTGATGGGACAGGTGATACAGTAATAAGAAACTTTCTGTGAAGTAGACTTATTTTCATTTTACTTTACATTTTAATGGAATGTTAACTTAAGTAATATTACTGTAACCGTATGCATATAAAGTGTCTAATACTAATGAACACTGCATAATCTCCATTTGATGTTTATTTTTAAAACAGAAATATGCATCTGTTCCTCCACTCATAAACAAAAATCCATATACTATATCTTCATTTCTTTTCTACTAATAGAGTTTTCTTTTCTTCCTTTCTTTTTTTAGAACAGTCTGCCTTATTCTATTTTTGTTAGGCCATTTCCTTTTTGCAATAAAATTCAGCAGAGAACTGCTGCTTCAAACTATTCAAACTTCAAACTATTTTTTAAATCATATTTTTAATTGCTCACTCTCAGGTTTTATCTAAGCTCATTGCCAGAATTTTAAATCAATCAATCAATCAATCAATTTTTTTTTTAATTTCACAGATTCACACACACACACATTGAAAATTTTTTAGGGCTTTTATGATCGTTTTATAAAAATGTGAAATAAAATAAATAGCAAGTTATAAGAATGTTTAAAAGAGCAACAGAGAATATGATAAAAATCTGAAAGTCTCAAAGCCTTCAGCAAATTAAAAAATGTTTTTTATACTAATGACATCCATGTAATGCATGCTGGGAAGAGTACGCATGCTCAAGATGGCGGATCGCCAGCGGAACGCTCCGTAAGCATATTGACCCGGCAAGTGGACATGGGGTGTTTTGGGGGTGCCTCGGGGGGGCTTGCGGTGATGAGCGGGTGGGCGAACCCCCGCTCGATCCCGTTTTAGCCCACCCGGCCCGTTTTAGGCCCGCCCTGACCCATTCGGCTCCTCTCTAGCCTGGGCCCGGTTCCAGCTCGGGCCCAGTGTAGACGACCGCAGCCGGAAGAACGCGGCCTGTTTGATTGCGGCCTAACTGGGAGGCCTCGGCCGCAAAGCTGGGAGGACTCGGGCGGCGTGGAGAGGACTTGGGCGGCCGGAAAGAGCTCGGGCGGCATGAAAGACTTCGGCCGGGACGATTTTCGGGCGGCTTGGAGCGACTCGGGCGGCCGGGAGGAACTCCGGCCAGGAAGATCTTGGGTGGCCCGGTGGTGGAGGCCTGGTCCGGACTATGTTATTCGGCTCCCCGGCCGGGCGCGGGCCTGTTCCGGTGGGCCGGACGGCCTGGCGTTCGGCTTATTTTCGGCCCGTTTTCGTGGCTTAGAAGGGCGGCCTGGAAGTACTTTGGCGGCCTGGCGGAGGAGACTAGACTTCGCCCCCATTACTCGGCTCTTGGACCCTGGTGCTGGCCTGCTTGGCTGGTCGGGCGGCCTAGCGTTAGTTGGGCGGCCTGGCACTGGCCCTGTTTCATCTGAG